GTGGAATCTCCTTCTTGGAGACATTCAAACCCGCCTGGACACGTTCCTGTGTAACCTTATAGGTGTTCCTGCTCCGGCAGGGGGATTGGACTAGATGATCTTTTGAGGTCCCTTCCAATCTCTAACCTACTGTGATACTGTGTGACTGTAATGATAGGACAAGGGGTAATGGGTTCAAACTTAAACAGGGGAAGTTTAGATTGGATATAAGGAAGAAGTTCTTTACTGTAAGGATGGTGAGGCACTGAAATGGGTAGCTCAAGGAGGTTTTGAATGCTCCAACCCTGGCAGTGTTCAAGGCCAGGTTGGACGAAGCCTTGAGTGACATGGTTTAGTGTGAAGTGTCCTTGCCCATGGCAGGGGGGGGTGGAGCTAGATGATCTTAAGGTCCTTTCCAAGCCTAACTATTCTATAATTCTATGCTCCTGCCCTTTGCAGGGGGGTTGGACAGAATGACCTTTGAAGGTCCCTTCCAACCCAAACTTTTCTGTGATTCTATGATTTTGGGGACTACTGCTGCTACGTGTGTGCCTCCAGGGAAACACCCCACTCCAGGCAGATACTAAAGTATCCAAGACAAGGAGCACCAGCAAAAAACCTGCCACCCCCAGAGATAAGGTCAATAACAAGCACTGTGCCAAAGAGGAAGCAAAAGTGCAAAATGGTTCTGGCAATGAAATTGATTCTTATTCATCTGAGAAACAGAGTGGTTACTCTTACCATATTAGAATAGGAAAACATACATTTTTTTATTCTTTAAGTAATGCAGTGGGGTACTAAACGTTGACAAAGCAGAAAACTTGGACCATTGGCTCTAGACTATTGACGAATGAGGTTGTTAAACTGATGTTTTCAATGTAGGATTCTGGGTAAGTCCTTTGAGATATGGTGAATGTCCAAAAGATTGAACAGAGAAGACAGTAAACAAATTTTTCAATATTTACGAGGGATAATGTGCTGAAAATGTAACTATAGCTCTGTCAATTTAATGCTTACCCAGGGCAAAATCTCAGGAAGCCAAAATAGGATGTGCTCAATAAAGAATTAAGGATGAACAGCCTAATTAATACCAGACCTCTTGGTCTACTGAAAGACAAAACTTTAAAGACAAATCAGTTGCATTTTGGTGGGATTACTAGCCTGACAAAATGTGCTTTTGTTAAAATAGCAAAGTTAAATGAGGCCATATATCTTTCTCGTAAAAAAAAAACCACCAAAAAAAAAAACCCTATTCAAACTTCAAATTCAAGATAAGCAAATAAAAAAATTAGTAGAGGTATTAAAAAAAATAAATGGAAATGATCTTTCAAAAATAATATTTTGGGTAGGCTTTTCTCATCCAAATGTAGTTCAGGGGAGTTCATGGATGGGGAGGGAAGGCAAGCTTGTGGTTGGCATTGACTGAATGAGAGATAAAGATAGCTTCTAGAGAGAGGCTCAAGCAGCAGGAAAATCTGGGCTTTCCTTCTTTTAATTAAAGAACTAGGTGCAAAGATCAAACAGCTAGGAACAGGGAATGTAGCCTGTAAGTGAAATAAAAACTGATTTAATGTTGGTAAGAAAAAAAAACCACCCTTTTTTAATGAGAGCAGACTGGAAAGAGTTCAGATGGGATCCCTAGAATAGTTTGAAATTTAGAAAGACTTTAATGAGAGATTGGAGAAGGCCAAGTGAATTTTCTCTCATCTTCAAGTTTGCATTTCTACCCAGTTACAACAAATGCTCCCCCTCTACTAACAGTATCAGTATCTGCTGAGTGCCTGCCCATGGTCACAGGGACTGAGATGACTCCTTTAAGGCCAGGACAAGAGAAGGCATTTATTCCAGGTAACATGAGACACTTACAGGTTCCTCCTCCACAACTGAGGGAGTAAAATGAGCAGTTCAGACTTCAGATGCACTTAAGATAGCATTAAGGGTCCTGCAGAGCTATCTATAGTTGCATAGGGGAGCAAGCAGAGAGGAGGGCAATCATCAGCAGAGCTCAAGAGGGCCAAGACTGGCTGTTGCTAACAAGAAAGAAGAGTGAAGACAAAGGATCAACTCTAAAATTTAGTCAAAAAGAAATAATCTGAGGTATAAATAATTTCTTAAAAAAATATTGAAAAGTGTAGAAATATTGTAAACAAGCTGCAAAATTAAGAAAAAAAAAGAGGATGGAAAGCAATTAAAGTTAATTGGAGCACAAAAATTTTGGTTTATGTCTGCAGGATGAAGCAACAACTCTTTGGCTGTGAGCTGAGAGTGGAAAATGCAGGCTGGAGATAGAAGAAAATGAAAATAACTATGGACATTGGGAGACCATGGCAGGACAGGTGAGGTTCACAAGCATCTCTGGAGGTCATATAGTTCAATCTCCCTGCTCAGAGCAGGGTCACCTATAGCAGGTTGCTCACTACTGTCCAGTTTAGTTTTGAATATCTTCAAGGATGGGACTCAGCCAGCCTCTCTGTGCAGCCTGTGCCAGTGCCTCATAACCCTCACAGTACAAAAAAAAAAAGGGGTTGTGTGTTTAGGCAGAATTTTCTGCATTGTAACTTCTGTCCATTGCTTCTTGTCCTCTCAGTGGGCACCAAGAAGAGACTGGCTCCGTCTCCTTTACTCCCCCTCTTCCAGTATTTACCCACATGGATAAGATTCTTCTGAGTCATATTCTCCAGGCTCAACAGGCACAGCTCTCTCAGTCTGTCCTCCTACCAAAGATGATCTAGTCCCTTCATCTTCTTGCCCTGTTTCTGAACTCTCTCCAACATGTTCGCATCTCGTACTGGGGAACCCAGCACTGGATCCAGCAATTCAGATATGTTTCACCAGTGCTAAGTAGAGGGGAAGGATCACCTCTCTCCTCACCATTGGCAATGCTCTTCCCAGTGCCACCCATACCAAGATAGGAAAGGATGGGACAAGCAGGGGAGTAGGGGACATAAAAATGAGTCAGGAAAACACATCTACCTCTCAGGAGAGAGAAATGACTGCAAAAGAAGAAAGTTAAGGTGAAGCAACAAATAGCAATAGTATTTTTTCTATTCTTTCTGCGATAAGATAAGCAGTTTGTTGATGAAGGAGGAAAGAGTGCCAAGGAAAAATCCATGGATTACAGTCACCCAATTCAATTCAGCTGGTGAAGTAGAGCAATTTAACAGGACAGGGAGCATGACTGAGGGGAAAGGAGGAGGAATGCTTAACAGAGGGAACCAAAGTTATTTCTGCCAGGAGCAGGACTAGAGAAAACAAATACATGGAAGTGTAAGGGAGTGAGTGCAGTATATGAGGAAGGTGTTAGGAAAGACTACAAAGGGAATAAGAGTCATGGCATGGGCCACAATAGAAACATTCAGCTCTTGGGCTAGATAAAACCACATGCCTTCTCACTTCACATGAGTTTCTATTCTTTTGCATAAAACAGAAGGCCTTAACAGCCTAGATGATGAGAGCTAACCTAAAGAGCCCAGTAGCTAAGATATTCTCTAACACAGGAGACTGGGATTTGGATTTCTTGAACCAGAGGTGTGCAGTGAACTTAGGTGAGTACCTTAAAATATAAGTTATGTATTTGGGTCCCTTTCTAGACTTTCTAGCTAGTAATATTCTGCCTCAGTGTCTGAGTAGTGCAGCACATACCAAAAAGAAGATACACTTACACAGAATATTACCGTATCTAAGGCTTTCTGTAAATCTGATGTATTTTTAAGAATAAAAGCTGACACCAATGCAAATTGAATAAAGTTGTCCAAATATACAAATATTGAAACAAAATAAAGAGATCCAAGTACATAAAACTTTTTAATTTACCAGGTAAGTGGTTAAGAAAATTCAGTAAAAGCTACCTGAAAATTGTCAAGTTTGAACTAGGAGTCAGGCAGACATTTTTAAAAGCAGGGATAGTTAAGCCATTGGAACTTTTAGATACATAATAGAGTATACAATCTTGTAAGTAAGTCCCTACATTAATATTGCGTTTCTTCATTGGAAGGTAGTTTCTGATTTAGGCAGACTATACAATCTAAACGTAGGAATCTTGATGTCAAGTTATATTGGAATTCGGAATAGCTGATTATAATGCTTTAGTCAGTTTGTTAAAACAATTTTATCTCAGCAATGAAAAAGCAAAGGGGTTTTCTTTCATAACTTCCAGCCCCATACCACTCTCTGTTGGAAGATTTGTTTTTGAAATGGCAAGGAGATCATCAGTGCAGATTATATTGAGAAAACAACAATTTTCAAAACAATAAAAACCCCCTCCATTTACTGTTATATAGTAAGAACATCTGCTTTTATGCCACTGCATACTAGGTAATTATTTTGGTTGGTGTAAATTATAACTAGAGGAACCCATTTTATTTGAAAATCTTTCTCAGAGTTTTACTCTAACAGGTAGATAGCAAACATACTGAAATATTGTTTCCTAAGTCTTGATAGCCATGAAACCATTTTCCCAGTCTATCACCAATTCATTTCATTATAGCCCCTTTAAAGAGATGTCAAGCCTTCAAGCTTAAATTTTTGCAGGATGTGTGTGTGGGGAAGTGGTAATTCTGAGATACTGGAAGCTTTTCAACAGGGTAAGGACAGCATTTCCCAGACATCCTGCTAACATCAATTTGTAGATGCTATAACTTCTTATCATCTCTGTTGCAGGCCTTGGCTCTCAAACACACTTCCTGGGCCACTGTTCATATAGATTTGTTTGTTCTGTTCAGAAAGATAGGAAAGGAAAAATTCAGATGCTTTGCCATTAAAAAGGGCTGGAATAGTTAATGTCTAAAATAGTTTGGAGAGAGCATTTCAAATAACAGATTGAAATGCTGGATAAGTGGAAGCACTTTGAAGATTATGATCAAGCTTCATCTTTGAAGACAACTAGATGAAAGTAGACAAGCTTAATGGAAGAAGTTATTCAGGGTGACTTGCCATTACTGTTCCTGAATGTGGAAGCAGCAGATTAACAAGTTGCTGTTTTCTGGTTATTACGTGGGGTGTTGTGGTTTTTTTTATTGTTTGTTTGTTTGTTTTATTTTGTTTTTTATATAGAAACAGCAACATGATCACACTCAATTTTAACTTGTCGGTGACCATTGTGACTTCCCCCCCCGCTCAGCCTTTGTCAGCAGGGTCTAGGGTTATCGTACATCAAGTGCGGACAAGCTGCAGGTTCTCTACTTCAAAAAGGCCACCTGCAAGTCTTAGTCTCATTAGAATACAACACAAGGATCTGATTAAAGCAAAGAAATTTCCTTTAAAATATATGTGCGTGCATGTACATATATCCCACTCTGCAGATGTTTAGCCCAGCCCTGATAACTGCTGAAGGAGGCTGGGTGAGGGAGTCCTTGGAGGGAGATGTGAATTTCATTTTCAAAGCAGCAATCTGCTAGCACAGCCAAGTACCACCTGCAATACAGTGCCATTGCGTAGGTACGTAAATGTCTTCCCATAGATTTTTCCTAGTGTCAGATACTCTAAAAATGGGTAAACCACAGAGCATTACAAAGATATCCAGTATTTCCTATTAACATCAGTTAGCTAGTAGAATAAATTATTTGAGCAGTTCTTTGAGGGAAAAAGAGCTCAGGGCAACTGCAGAAAGTCCCAGAGGCAAAAGGAAACATAGCAACAATCATGGTTCAAAAGAAATTTTCCTGTGATCAATCATAAAGTTTCCATATTGCAAATGTTATGGAAAAATATTGTGTCATGCCTTCACACTGAAAAAATCTGCTCAGGAAACCTTTAACTTTGCCTAAGATATACTTGTAAATGCTGCAACTAATCTCATCTGCGTGGTTGTAACATGTTGTGTGGATCCTTCATTTCCATTAGAAATATCTTGGTCATGCATCTGACTTTTGGAAATCATTAAAATGTTGTCTCCTGCAGAAACGGAGATATAAATTAAATTCCATTAGATTAGAGGGACAAAGAAAAGTAAGAAACTAAAGCTAACCTTGGAGTAGCTTTCTCCCCTCATCTAACAGAAGTTACAAAGGTAAAACAGGCAAAGTGAAAAACTGGTATATCGTATCACAGCAGATGTGAGAGAAATCAAATAAATTTCAGTGTTATTTCAAGTTTTATTTCTTTCATGAGTTGTGTTTAAGAGCACATTTAAAAGATCCTGTCTACAATACACACATTTACTCTTGAGTATCTGCTGTTGAATACAATGGTAAAACAATATCACAAAATCTCCAAAAACACAAAACAAAAAACCCACTTCTTCTCCTATCCCAAAAGAAAACCTTCTACCTGCTTCTTTAGTTTGAGTCTCTGAGACAGTTTTGGCTGGATATAGAGCAGTAAGTAAACACAGATATTACTGCAGCTTCTGCAGCCACTAATGTTTGCTTTTTCTGAGATCCCAAAGGCTGGGATAATTACATTCTGAAAGAGGCAAAACAATTTATATAAATCCCCACACACACATTCTCTTATTAAAAATTAAACAGGACTCCCGTAATCAGCCGCGTCAAATATGCGCGAAGAATGACAGCTAGAAAGCAGTCTATGCAGATTGCTCATGAAGTGGGTGTGAAGATGAAGTCAGGGTAAGAAAAAAAATCACAGTGATAAAAGAGCACTTTCTTGGAGCTTTTACAAGGTCATTTGGTCCAGGCCAGAGAAAAGTGTGCATTTCCCAATACCCTGTAACAAGAGGGAGAAAATAGAATTAAAAATTATCTTTTGCAGCAAAACCAAAAATTAAAGTCAGCTTCTCTAGGATGAAGTCCACTGGAAAATAAAGTCTCCTTTTTCATCCAACAGGTTTTAGCTTTTAATTATGTAAAGCCTTCATGAAGGGATTTCTACTTTTTTGTAAATTTAATTCACAAAATGTCTTAATTGTCTGCAGACATACTAATAACTTTGAAAAACATATTTGTAGCAAGCTGAAATGTATTTTTGAAACAACAGTTATACAACACTTAAAAAAGTACACACATCCATAATTCTCGTACAGTTCATATGCAAATACATTATTGGTATCGTATATATTGTGAAAAAAACCCTAAGAATGCCTGATTTGAATTCCTCCAGCTGCCCACAGTTCACAAAACCTAATAGTATTGTGGGCTGAAAAAGACGGCCATTTCTTCCCCCATGGAGAACTGCCTCTATCTGTTCGTTGTCATATCTTTAATAAATTTTCATTAATTTTTAAGAACAATTTTACTCCTGATAAAACTGAAAAGACAACTCATGAGAAGCCAATAATATTATTTAGATACCATCTTCAGAATACAAACCTGCTGCAAAAATACTAAAATAACTGTTGAAGCAGAAAATCAGGAAGAAAGTCACAGAATACCTTAATCTGTGGGAGAAGGGTTGAAAACAAAGGCCTTTCTTAGGTTTGATTTTTTTTAAATTCCTCTTTATAAAATCCTAGCTCTCAAAAAAAAAAAAAAAAAGTTATGTCAAAGCCATCTCCTAAGGCAAGAATAATATGTGTCAGTGCCTGAACTTGCTTTCAAAGTCTCCAAGCCTAGAAGCAAGGGCTCTGCAAAAATCTTTATACCAGAACTGAGAATCAGGGTAAGGAATCCCTTTCAGAAAATAACAAAGGTGCAGCAAAACTTAAGAAAAGGTAATTTGAAAACAGAGGTCCTGATTTCTCTGGTTGAATAGTGATTTTCTACCATCAGCATTCACTGATACGAATAGCCTTTTTGCCAATAGGAAATAGCATGAAGAATGCGGCACACAAGAGAGTCAAACTTTCACTTAAGAAAGTCCACTGAAAGCTTGCAGAATTGCCTCCTGCTTTTCCAGCCACATTCCTCAGCTGCCCAGGTTTATCCACTCACAGTCCACAATACAGAGAACATGGCTGTATTGCAGTTTTAGCCTAAATATCAAAGCATCCCTAACATGCTTTCCATGCCACGAGCACTTCCTCTGACTTGAAATACATGTTCTGCAGTTCTGTATGAAAGAAGGTCTTTCAAAATAGGTATGTGCCATTGCATGGCCCCAAACACAGAGGTGGAAAGCATTTATTTTAAGATCCCTTCTCTTGTTACTTGAAAATTAAACTGGGTAAGCTGTCATAATAAAATGCCAAATATGAAGCTAAATTAGCACCAGCATCAGTACTAAAACCTATGAACACTAAGACAATGAACACTCTTACTTTTCTCCTCCTTTATTCCAAGTAGTTTGGGCTCCTGGATAAAGAAAAACAAATGCATTAATACAGTACAATGTACAGTACAATCAGGTATTTATGCAAGGAACTATGGTTATCCAGTGGTGTGGCGCTTTCTTGGTAGGACAAGGGGTAATGGGTTAAAACTTAAACAGGGGAAGTTTAGATTAGATATAAGGAGGAAATTCTTTCCTGTTAGGGTGGTGAGGCACTGGAATAGGTTTCCCAGGGAGGCTGTGAATGCTCCATCCCTGGCAGTATTCAAGGCCAGGTTGGACAAGGCCTTGGGTAATATGGTTTAGAGCGAGGTGTCCCTGCCGTGGCAGGGGGGTTGGTCCTTTCCAACCCTAACTATTCTATGATTCTATGATTATTTGGCACCCTTTCCTGTCTTTTGAAACTCCACTTAAAATAACAAGTAAGCCCTTCTGCAAGATTCTGGTTCTAGTAATAAATATTTCTTTGATTTGAGCTCAATATGAATAGCATGATGTATCGATTCAGGAGATAAACTTATCTTGGTTTTGCTGGTAAAAAAATCAATCTAGAAATGTTCTAAATATCTTCAGATGCCTCAATCCTTTCTTGTTCTCACAAAATTTGAAAGAGTGAAAAGTTTCCACCATTCTTCTCTGGATTCTACCAATCTCTTTTAGGATAGGATTTTCAAAAGAAAGAGTGATTGAACTCAAAGTCAAGCCAGGCAGTACATATCTGCATATGCTGTTTGAGTGCTTTGTCAGAGGGAACTCATTAAACTTAGCTATGGCATGCTTGCACCTACTCCTCTGAGGTCCCTATATTGATGCTGATACTTCTGTGAGTAGTGTATTTACTGCTATCCTTCTGCCAGGAAAGACAAGCACATTACTCTCAGTTGAAAACCCCAAACCAACAAGTTCTAGGAAAAAAAATAATAACCTTTTCAACTCAGATTGTACACAGACTAACCAGGTTAAAGCTAAGTTAGCAAACCACATTCTTTATTAAAACAAACATGACCGTTGCAGATTACACTTTGAAACTTTTTCATATAAATATTCTATTCCCAATATGCCCATGTAAAGTAAAAGATTTGTGTTGGGAAACCAGCATTTTCAGTGCCACTTTATCCATCTAAAACTTCATTAATGTCTGCATTAAAGATTGGTTGTGTATGGAAAATTGTTGTGCGCATCCTGTCCTTGTAATTTCAGGGATCTTTGAGCTATGGCTCTTTGCTGTGCAGTAGCTGACTTCATGACATGCTCCCTCTCAAAACGGTAGCAAACAGCATAAATCAAGTGCTGGCTGAGGCTCCAAGGAAACATTCTCATGGATCATGCTACAAGAACTAAACCAAGTGTAACCCACAAACCATGTTTATTTTAAATAGTTTTATCCATAAATCATGTTTCCTCAAAACAGATTTACCCAGCATCCATTGAGTTCCTATTCTGCACATGAGAAAGGAAAAGAACAGGGTTTTCTCTCACACTGCACCTGTGTATTCAGGGCACAGTTGCTTCACTCAACAGGTATCTAGAATTATGCATCCACTGAAAGAATCAGCATTCAAAAGAACATTTCTCATTCTTATGCATCACACCAGGTGTAATGGAGACATGAAAGGAGAACATGTAATATGTCATCTTGCCTACTAGATTCTGGGTTTACAATAACTCAGAGTTTCAACAAGACAACTAGTATTTCATTAGAGTAGGAAAATAAATTTGATATGTTCACCATGTGACCTCTTCTCATTAATATAATAAGCAAAAGGTTCCCTGACAGTGCTCCATTTTCACACAAAAAATAAGCAAGGGCTCTGTTATAGGCTTGCCATGCATCAGCACTGGGTCTTTACAAGTCCCTGCATTCCTGAACATGGGCAAATCTCTTGAGGGAATTAATATAAAAATGTGCAACTGTTTTAAAGTTATTATTTTGTAAAAATTGAAGTGTTTTAACATTTAAATGAAACTGATAATTTGTGCTACTAAGGTGAACAGATACTATTCCAGTCACAGGTCCCAGTTGAGCAAGGGTTAAATCTTACTGATTAAACTTTGGTGTCAAAATGACAACTGTTACTTTATTACCCTCATATCCCCTCATATCCTAAAAGGTTTATCCTTATGTTAGAGACCACGGCACTGCAAAAGACATCAAAACTTTCTTGATAGCATACAAGACTTAATGTTCCCTCAAGGGTGCAATATCTTACAGACAGAAGTGGAGATTTATTAATTTGTCTTCCCATTAAAAAAGGAAACCACACAAACCACCCAGACGGTGCCCTGGCATTTATAATCAAAAAGGGAGAAAAGATTATTTTCACAAAGATCCTTCTGGAAATGACAGCTTACAAATATTCCTAATAAAACACAAGATGTCTGGAGGGCAGATGAATTACTGAATTTCCTATCGATCAGGGGAAAATTAGGCAATGCAATTCCTCTCCTCCACCCCACCCAGACACACACAATATATTTTCCTTCCCCCCTCCTCTCCATGTCCCATTCTGTGTCCCCTAGCCCCCAGGAAAACAGAACAGAGCTGCAGCTGCTTTGGAGCTGTGCCCATGCCAATCGACCAGAGGGCTGCAGCTGAACAATGCACAGAGCGCCCAGGTCCTTCCATCACCCCTCAGAGTAGGGCACTGATTTGGAGCTTCTCCGCTGCCAGCACTGAAACATAATCACTTTTGAGACTTATACTCCCTTTCAAATTTGGCTAAGGTTGGCCAGCAGGTTGAAAACCTTATTACATGCAGACAGACAGCATGATCATACAAGCTTAATTTACTGAGGAAATCAGTCTAATACATATAATAGTGAAAAATACAGCAGGTATATTGACGACATGGTGCCATGTTTCTGTTCTGTGTGAAGCTGTTGTGACTGCAAAGAGTTCAAACAGGAAAAAAAAAGAGAAGCGGGAAAGAAAACAAATATTTCTTTTTCAGTGCCACTGCACAGACAGAGCAGGCTCAAAAATTACCTGCAGGTCTTAACTTTGGAAATATTTTTAATTTCTTTTAATCTTTGTTTATAGCCTGACCTGCTACAGTTAGCTTTCTTGTAATGTAAATGCCACTCTGCAGACTACAGGACTTGCAAGCCCGACCTGGAGTTCAGGTATTTTTGCTTAAAATCCCAAGGGAAGGGAGAAGAATCTTCGTATAATCAAAGACAGTGAGGTTGCAGCCTCTAGCCTATCTTTTGAGAGTTACTTTTCTTTCTTGCTTTTGTTACAAATACCCCTTTTTAATTCCTTTCCATGATGACATATTCTTTCATGGCTTATTCTTTCCCTGCTTTGCTTAGTCTTCAAATCTCACATCACAGCATAAAGGAAAAATGGATAATCAAGCATTACCCAACAGAAGGTAGGCTCCTTGGGAGCCATTAAGTAAACATCAGAGTAGAACATTTATCATTTCTACACACTGGGTTTTATTGCATTTATGTTGATGCAGTCCTTGACAATGTATATTTAAAAAACAAAACAAAACAAAACAAAATGCATAAATCGGCTGCATATGCCACAGAGTTGTCTTGTTAAAACTGCGCTGGGCTGACTGCACATGTTTGGTGGTACTAACACCCACTCTGTGGAAGATGACATATGGCACCTGGCTAAAGGTAAACCTCCTCCCTTTCTGCAGACAATGGCAATGGTTTTTAGTTGTGAGAGCAGGCATTCTGATGGAGATGCTAGAGTTTACATATTGGGAATCCCAGCTGTGACACACGTTTTCTTTTGAGTTTATCAGGAAACAGTTTACAAATTGGGACAAAGGACACAACATGAAATAAAAACACTAATTTCTGCCCTTGCTGCCTTTGTTAACCCTTCATCAGACTTTACCTTTTGCTGCTTACAAGGCATCACTTAGCTCCTTCCTACCCTGAAGTCTAATTCTGCTATCCACACATGTGCTATCCTTCAGAAGATGATTCAGGCCTGCTATACAGAGTGATCTCTTACATTCTTTTACTAGCCTGGATATTTGTAGTCTGGCTTCCAACAGCTCCTGGATTGCCTGGCATGTGATACAGGCTTTACCAGTAAAGCCTCTGACCCAACTGGTTCTCCAAGCAGATGCCAGCAGACCTTATAGGAGGTTGAGCTGGCAGATTCTGCCTCCTCTTAGCAAGGACAAGAGAACCTGTCCAAGATGCCTGAGCACTCTGGAATGGCCCAGGACTTCCCCAAAGCTTGTAGTGATGAAGACACTCCTTTTCCACTTCTACTATATGGAAAACTCCAGCAGCAAGAATATTTGCTTCTTAATCATGCCTTGACTTCATATGTTCTTGAACCCAAGTATTCCTGGCATTCATCTACCAATATACAGTCCTACTAATCCAATTCAAACTTTTCTGGTTTATCAGCTAAACATCTTCACACTGGAAATAGATTTTCTTAGATTCTCATCCTTTTGCTGCTCAGTCTTTGTAAATCTTTCATTTCTGCACTAGGATCCTCCCCGCAATTGAATTTCAATCTAATGGAAATTTCCATAATGCAAATACTACATAGTTTTGTTTTTAACACTGAAAAGTGCAATTCTAAATAACAGTCACAATAATGCCTCATTAGGACAGCTGAAAAAATAGCGGATTGTTTAATAGGCTACAGTCAAGATAACTTTTCTTCAAAGAATCTTTACAAATACTATGTACTTTAAATTGATGCAGTTGGGTCTTCTATGTCACAGTTTTATACAGATAAAAAATGAACAGCTTTACCTTTCATGTGACATTTTCCCCTTCAATTTCAATATCACAGTAAAATATTTACAGCATTTCCAAATATGTTTCATTTTAAAACTTTTCAAAAATCCCTTACCATTTCAGCACCCTTGTTCTGAACTTAAGGAAGTACCTTAGATGCAGTTCCTTGCAGTAAGTACCTTGCATGCAAAACATGTTAAAGTGAGCTCTGCTGCAAGAGAACCTCCCTCCTTCTATTTGAACAGCTTGTATTTAAGAAAGAATTTCTTCTTAAAAGCTATTGTAGACTGACAGCCATGATGGTGAGTTCTGTCAGACAGGATAAAATCACACAGACACGTAATAGTATCTGAGGAAAAAATCAACTTTTAAACAATTTCATTGCTTTCATGTTCTGCACCCAAAATCTTACCCATCCACTGTTACTGCATTAGTCCAGGCTCCCAGAATGTTCAGGCTGGTGGATGTTAGTAGGTTGTGTTTTGTTCTGGAGTCGATCCAGGAAAGCATTATTTACCCTTAAAATACAACAAAAAATGAATAATGATTGAAAGCATCTGAGGAGTTCAGAAACTTGGAATTCAGTGGTTTTGCTTATTCTCAGTTCAATATCTACCTTCCTATGTTTTTCAAGCCTGTGCTGCAAAACCATGGACAGGCATGAGATAGGGTGGATTTCATTTTCAGTTCACTGGATGCTTCCTTATCCTGTGATCAGTCCTTTGTCATTAAAAGGCATGACTTGGCTGCTGTGAGAAATGCACCAAAATTCTCCATAGAAAGACAACTTGCATACCACCACCCACCTCATGAGGAAGATTAGCTCTTTCGACAATTCACCCTAGGTAGACTTTCAGTGTTCAGTACAGAAGAGTTTCTAGAAATACTGCTTTCCTAATGCAAATGAAAAAACCCACTTCAGCTTGTTCTAACAAACACAATTCGTGTAGCTGACAACTTTTCCTACCATCCAGGTCTGAAATCCACTCTAGCATTTTCTTGTACCGCTCTATCAACCCAGAAAGCATGCACCAATGCAAATACACTTTTCCTCAATCTGTTTTGAATATTTTCAAACCTTCTGAAAACTATGCCTTTTTTCCTCCTCTATTAATGCTTAGGATTGACACACATGCTTAGACATGACTGTTGTTTCAATGTTTTACAATGCTGTTGTAAGGATGATGGAAAATGCAAGATACTGGATTATTTCTATCTAGGGACATGAGATGGACTGAATCGAAAATCCTTCATTAACTTCTACGGTAATTATCTCGATATCCTTGCCAGAGAAAAAAGAAAAAAAAGAAATTAAAATGGCATGAAGAGTGGTTGCCTACAAAAGTAATATTTTTTTTTTAGGTTTCCCTAATGATATAAAAAAGGAAACAAATGGTGATTTTATTTTTGAGCCTGGGCATTGTTTCTTTCTGCCAGCCAAAAACAAAGCTGAGAATACATCTGTGCTTCAAGATAATGGAAAGTCAGGTAAGTGACAGACGTGCAAGATTAGAACCACTGAGCACAGAGAGGGCATGGCAGTGGGGCATAGCCGGGGGCACAAAGCAGTACAGTTGCAGAAGGCCTTGAGGCACTGCAGCTTCCATCTGTATCAACATCAAATCCCACACTTAGCTCTGCCTGTTACTCTTGGTGGCAGTCAGCCACAAAATGTGGCATGGAGAAAGCGGCCCATTTTAAACCAAGGTAAAAATAAATAAACAAACACATAGATAAATAAATACTTCCCCAGCTGAAGCCACTGTACTAGTAGTTACCCATGAAACTATTGACAGTTTCTACTCTATGCAATATTAGACACTGATAGGATAAATAAAGTCAAAATGGCACTAAGGCTCATACTGCATTACAGTGAGCAGTTTTAATGATAGATATTATTGGCTCATTTGAAGGCAAAGTTAAGCCAGAGCTGAGGTCTGGGATCCTTATTGTAATTGTCTTCTAACACACGAATGCTTGCAATCTTGAGACACTTTCCAGATAGGAATTCAATTAAAGTGTGCTCTGCATTTTTGCATCATACCTCCTTTGTTCATCTTGACGTGCTCTCATCCTGTCTTCCTCTTCCTGCTTTTGTTTAAATTCCATTAATTCAGCCTGGGAATGATAAAAGTGAAACAAACAAACAACAAACTTACTCTTAATTAACATACCTATGTTGCAAACCCAATTAATTCGACATGGTGCTAACTTCAGCTAGAGCCACTTGTCATTCCCAGAACTTTTCTCAACAGCATTTTATTTAAGTGACAGCACTATGTTAAAAACCTAGCTAACTTTTCTGTTCTGCATTGCACAGCATGAGTTTTGTTTGTGTGTTAAAAACTGGGAATTAACAGGATTCAGACATTTACAGTACTACATTTAAAGGGGTAAGATAGACACAAGCCTGCTTCCCTTGCCCCAGCCCACATATTTGCATTTCCCTGTGGGTCCAAGGGGGAAGACAGCCAACATCATCTAGCAGGAGCAGACACAGCTGTCATGCCTGTAGGGTATGAAGGAGACATACCCTTCACCTCCTGCCTCCATGGAACACAAGGAGAAGATGGGAATAGGAGTGCGTCAACTCCAGCTCTCTGGGGATCTCCAAAGAGTGAGGAAATGGCAAATAGTACCTGAGCTGTGACAATGGTATGAGGCTCAACAAGGCTCAGTGCCGTGTCCTGCTCTTGGGCCACAACACCCCCATGCAACACTACAGGTTTGGGGAAGAATGGCTGGAAAGCTGCCCAGTGGAAAAGGACGTGGGGATGCTGACCATGAGCCATGCTGAACATGAGCCAGTTTGTGCCCAGGCAGCTAAAAAGGGCAACAGCATCCTGACTTGTATCAGCAACAGTGTGGCCAGCTGGGCCAGGGCAGTGATCATCCCCCTGTACTGGCACTGGTGAGGCTGCACCTCTAATCCTGTGCTCAGCTCTGGGCCCCTCACCACAAGAGAGGCATTGAGGTGCTGGAGCTGGTCCAGAAAAGGGCAATGGAGCTGGTGAAGGGTCTGGAGAACAAGTGTGATGAGGAATGGTTGAGGGAACTGGGGTTGTTTAGTCTGGAGAAAAGGAGGTTCAGGGGGACCTTATTGCTCTCTGCAACTACCTGAAAGTAGGATGGAGTGAGGGGGGGTTGGTCTCCCGAGTAACAGGTGATAGGACAAGAGTTAACAGCCTCAAGCTGCGCCATGGGAGGTTCAGATTGAAATTAGTAAAAATTTCTTCACTGAGAGGGCGCTCAGACATTGGAACAGTCTGCCAGGGAAGTGGTGGAGTCACTGTCCCTGGAAGTGTTCAAAACCTGTGTAGACATGGTTTAGTGGTGGACTTGGCAGTTCTGGCGCAATGGTTGGACTTGATGGTCTTTAAGCTCATTTCCAAACTAGCTGATTCTATGATTCTACGATTCTGTTGGGTTGGTGAAACAGCGTGCAAACTCCCAGCATTGCAGCAGCCTGGCATTCTTACATTACCTAATATTAAGGTATACAAAAAACGTCAAAGATAATTCTTTTCAGAGGAGTTTCCTTATGCAATTTTAGTCAGAACTGCAAAGTAAGGTCGTACAGCTTATATGATTCTGCTTTGCATGTGTGCTTGTTTGTCTGGCTCTTCCTCTCTGCAGTGCACCCAAGAACTGAAAGTGCAGATTTTTCTGTGAAGAAAATTTGGCTTGCAGGGTGAGAGGGAAGGGATAGCAACAGATCCATCTTTCATATTTTCCATAGCAACTGAGCAGCAGTAGGAATAGAAACTAAAATAAAATTATGCGGTTAGAGAAAAGCTTCAATAACTGAATGGAACCACAAAAGTTAAAAAAAAAAAATAAAAATCAATTCAAGTTCCATTAAATAAAAACTATGCAATAGATGTATGAAGAAAATCAATATCTGTGAATGTGTTGTGTATCAGTGTTTGTCTAGCCCCCTAAAAGGAGAAACAGGATTAAGAAATAAAAAAGCCAACCTTAATTTTCACTGTTTTAAATAACTATTCAACCTGAAAATTAAAACCCAGTATCTGACTTTCCAATATGCTGAGTCCTCTCTTGAAGTAATGTTCTGAAATATATGGTGTGTATATGATGCAGTGTTCAAAGCGTACTGAAAATTTCTAAATCAAGCAATACATACTAAAATCTGCTCTGAGAAAAAAAGGCAGGGAGAGAACTTACAATACCTACACGTTTTATAGCTATACTGTGCTAGGAGGTACACACAAGACAGAATTCACAATTACTTTAATAAATATTAGTTTGAAGCAGAAATGAGCCAACATATACCTGAGGGACAATTATTGGAGCTGTTAAAATACATATTATTTACAGTAGGTTTGTAAGTAGTGCATTACTCAGTGCAATAGGCAGCAGCAACTATGAAGGCAAGGAGCACTTGGGACCGTGTGCCAAGCAAGAGCAGTCTTAGAAACAGCCAACACCTTCTTAGCAATATGTCAAATTGGTAAAGACTCTAAAGCTCTGTAAGTCCTTTAAACCAAACCTTCATAAAGAAGGGGCATGCTAATTCACATCTGTAGTTTTTTTCTCTATGGAAGAATCAATGTAAAGAATACAACAGCTACCAGCCTTACACCCATCAAGACTAGCTTTCAAAAATATTTCCTCTGTACAGGTCCTGATGGTAAGGATACATCTGATGGAAAAGCCTCATTTTCCCCCCACCTTTTGTTTCCACAGTCCTGGTTCCTAGAATATTATGAAATGACACTTGTCCCAAACATTTAAAGAAAGATACACCCATGAGAGGCATTTGTTCAGCTCTAGAAGAAGCTCACTGTGTGGAATTTGCTGTGTTTGTTTGCTGCTACTGGGGAAGCAGTTTAACATTAATTTGGATGGTAGTAACAGCAGAGGCACAGCAAGAGGCTCGGTATTTGCTAATATATTTTCAAATTATTTGCTGATATGATTTTCAAATGCTTCCTTCCCTGTACTTGCACAGTCACACCTAGAGCAAGGCAGGTAGCAGCACAGTGCCACCGCTTTCTCTAGTGAGCTTTATGTGGATATGGTACTCAAATCTATGCCAGAGGGACTACAGTGGTGCAGACTCATTTCAGGCAATATGTGCTACATATGCAGAAGGTGGAGTTCAGACTTGCAGTTACAGCATGCCTGCTTTTTTGGCAACTCAAAACTCTTCACTTAGGTGGTTAGCAAGGGAGCAGAGAAGAACATAGACTTAAAAGCAAAACTGAGAGCTTCCACATCCCCTTTTGGGAAGGCAGAGCACGTGGGCCTCAATTCTCTAGAAAAAAAAAAAATTATTCAGAGTCTGAGATCATCATGAATATCATGAATGATATTCAAAATCTCACAAGATTACTTCTGCCTGAAAGAGAGGAAATTGGTTTCTTTAGCCTATGAAATCAGGTGCCATGGTCAAAAAACTTCTCTTCACAATTGTTCAGATGGAAAGGTGAACAAAGCCAGTCATCCAGATGTAGATAGCCTTGAACCCAGAAGGTAACTGTCCTGTCCCCATCCAAATTTTACAGCTTGCCTCATCTCTCTCACAATATTTGAAAACAGTGACTGAATCACTTTTGCTAAAGAGAAGCTCTGTGCGTAGGCTACAAGTAATCAATGTATTTAATTGGTTTCACAGCATGGAAAAATGATACAATATGCAAACTGTTAATGTATAATTACCTTCTTCCGTTGTTCTTGCTTCATTTCATCTAATTTTCTGATTTCATCCTCTCTAAGAGCTTGCTTATACATATGGCTTCTCACCTATTGTTCAGCAAAGAATATAAACATATTAGTGTGGGGAGAAGGGGGACAAATTTCCAAATCTTATTCCCAAATTGTTATACAGGTATTTAAGAAAAAAGAACCGGTTGAATGATTACAGTTACGTAAAAAATAGATTAGTCTCAAGACTAGAATTTAAATAAGAAGTGGTCTAATGTCTCTTGGTCATTTGGTTTGGCTCAATGTCCACTTCCACATCACAACCAGGTAGCCAGAGCACATACTACTTGGTGTCCCAGTGGCAGCCATAAACATGCCCTGAGCAGTCAAAAAGCACAATCAGGAAATTTAATAGTGAGATGGGATATTCTGGGAAGAAAGAAAATATTACCAAGCTAACAAAGCAGAATGGAGGCCTGGTAACAGAAAGGAATTATTTGTGGTTTGTTATTTGTGGATTATTTGTGGAAAGGCATTTGTGGACGTAGGGCAACAGAAACTGAGAAATCAAAACTGCTGTGCTATTTGTGGGAGAGTCAAGAGAGCTGAAAATCTGAACCACACATCGCGAATAATGCATTCAACTGTGTAGTAGGTTTTCAGTATAATAACCCTGGTCTTTCACAAGTTGTAGTTAGCAAAGAGCCAGCCTACCATTAAGATCTTATAGGATCCTTAGGACCTTTTGCATAGGATCTTATCTTAGTCTTTGATCAGGGATCAGTGTTAGGACCAGTCTTGTTTAACATCTTTGTCAGTGACATGGACAGTGGGATTGAGTGCGCCCTCAGCAAGTTTGCCGATGACACCAAGCTGTGTGGTTCAGTTGGTATGCGGGAGGGAAGGAATGCCATCCAGAGGTACCTTGACACGCTTGTGAGGTGGGCTGATGCCAACCTCATGAAGTTTAACCATACCAAGTGCAAGGTCCTACACCTGGGTCAGAGCAATCCCAGGCACAGCTACAGGCTGGGCAGAGAAGAGATTCAGAGCAGCCCTGCAGAGAAGGACTTGGGGGGTGCTGGTCAATGAAAAAATGAACATGAGCCGGCAGTGTGTGCTTGCAGCCCAGAAAGCCAACCGTATCCTGGGCTGCATCAAAAGGAGTGTGACCAGCAGGTTGAAGGAGGTGATCCTACCCCTCTACTCTGTTCTCATGAGACCTCACTTGGAGTATTGTGTGCAGTTCTGGTGACCTCAACATAAAAAGGACATGGAACTGTTGGAACAAGTCCAGAGGAGGGCCACGAGGGTGATCAGGGGACTGGAGCACCTCCCATATGAAGATAGGCTGAGAAAGTTGGGACTGTTCAGCCTGGAGAAGAGAAGGCTGTGTGGAGACCTCATAGCAGCCTTCCAGTATCTGAAAGGGGCCTATAGGGATGCTGGGGAGGGACTGTTCATTAGGCACTGTAGTGACAGGACAAGAGGTAATGGGTTCAAACTTAAACAGGGGAAGTTTAGATTGGATATAAGGAGGAAATTCTTTCCTGTGAGGGTGGTGAAGCACTGGAATGTGTTGCCCAGGGAGGTTTTGAACGCTCCATCCCTGGCAGTGTTCAAGGCCAGGCTGGACGAAGCCTTGGGTAATAAGGTTTAGAGGGAGGTGTCCCTGCCCATGGCAGGGTGGTTGGAACTTGATGATCTTAAGGTCCTTTCCAACCCTAACTATTCTATGATTCTATGACTCTATGACATGGTGTAGCACACTAAATAATGAGCCAGTATAATTTAATACAAGAAGTGTGCAGGTTTGACTTTGGTGAGGAATGTGTTGCAGGTCCACACAGTGTTTTCGAAATTTGATATATGCATGCAGACTGCCACCATTAAAACAACAGGCACATAATTTGCTATAAAGGCTGAAAAGAGAAAGCAATTATTAATAGCTCAATTTTGAGCTGGGAGATGTTGTTACATGTGTCCAGAGAGACTCATTCTAGCTCCAATATTATTCATTACTCTCTGTAATGGCTTGGAGAATTGTGTGAAGTGTGTATTAATCAAGTTGGAAGACAGTAAAAATCTACACAGGATTCGTAACACTTTGAAAGACAGGATTAAAATTAATTATGGGCCTGATTAAATAAGCAGGCCAGAGAAGTCACCAATGACAGAGTCACTCCAAAGAAGTTAAATTTGTTCATGTACATCAAGTAATATTTAACACTAGTATTTGAATTAAGTGTGCTAAATGAGTACAGCTACCAAAGAAATTATGTGAGTAAAAAAAAAATCAATCAACTTTACGTTGCCCCAAACTTTTTTCTAACATAAATTTTAAATTTAAAAAATCGTATTTTTATCCAAAACCACCCTTTTAGTATGCATGTCAGGCACTTCCTAAGCTTACCACATTTCACTATTTCAAATACGTTGCTCCTGAATCTTTTAATTACTCTAGACAAAGGACAGGTCCATGATAACATTAAAATCAGAGTTCAGGTTTTCCACCAGTTTAGCATTTTGGTAGTACACCAAGTCTATTTAGATAACAACTCATTGGTTATGTGCTTCAGGTTCCTCACGCAGAGCACAGAGGCTGCCTGTAAGCCTACAGACTGTACCTCATCCAAGCTGGTTGGGAAGACGTTTTGCTAACTGTGTTGCTGCATTACAAGCAAGTGACGTATTGATCCACAGAGCTATAGAAATGCTGCCATTAAAAAGACATGTATAATATCAGATAGTATTAAAGAACATTACAGATAAAAGATGCATATTATTTGCTTTGATACTAGTAAATCCAAAGATGAATTATGGTATGTAATTTGGCATAATTTATTAAGAAACCTTTCAAAAACTGATAATGAGAAAGGCACATATAAGTAAGTGAAGTAGAAGGCAAAGACTGCAAGTAGGACCTGTACACCTGAAAGAATTCAATGTTCTCTCAGGCATTCACCCCCTTCTGTATAGATATGAAGACACCAGAATACTGAAATCCAAGTCAGTCCTGTGGACATGAGCTTGATTGTCTTTGCAGTTCAATGTTCACACCATATGAAAGGCTGCAGATCTGGGTCTTCCCTACCAAAGAACAAGCTCCCCACTGTTCAATACTGGATGCTTCAAGAGGTAAGTAGAAGTGGTTTCAAGACATATTTTCTCTCTTCCCGTAATCCTTCATCTTACTTGTACACCCAGGAGTACAAGGCAGTCTGAAAGCCAGTCTCTTTGCAATTGACATTCTGCCAAACAATGCTAGTCAGAGATTGGCTCCTTCAAACTGTATATCTGCCCACACATGATAAAACTTCTTTAGGGTTCTTAGAGGCACAAAATGACCTGAGAAATCAAAGTGCAAAAGAATAATTTTTCTACCACCTTCCCTTTTCATGCAATGAAAAGCAGGAAGCAATACTAGAGGCAAGACAGAGCTGTCATATATACTGCCTGCAGCCATCTCTGTACCCAGAGGATCTTGCGCATTTCCAAAGCTTCTCACAAAATGTGGAGGTAAAGCTTTCTTTCTCTTTACTCTGCTGTTGGTTCTGTTCAAACCTGTTGAAGGTTGTATGCAACCGAGGGCTACTCAGATTGGATAATTTCAAGTTTCTGCTAAGGACTATGGCTTGTAACAACAATTTCTGTTCACTTGGCTGCCTGCTCTTTGTCTTTCCCCCAGTTATGAACCTCCCTAAAGGAGAAATGCTTCTGTCTCAGGCTTAATATCCATCACTGGAAGTTTTTACATTAGGAAAGTGGTTTAGACATGAAGAGACTAATCATATGTGGAAAAGCCTCTCTGAGACAATTAGAATAATGAAAATTAAGCAGTACTTTATCTATTTCCTAGCTACATTGATACTTAACAGATTCATTCAAACTGGGACAAAGTCCCCAAGCAGCCTATGGAATCACCTTTAGGATGCAGTGAGGAATAAGATTCTCTTCTGACTAGAAGTTAAGCATCTGCTGACATGAACTAGTTGAGATTTCATAAAAGCTTGCCACCAATGGATGGGTACAGAGCACATCTAAGATTCTGATCTGACCTTAGAATATAAGTCTGGTTCTCATTTACCAAAGAGAGGTCTGTGAATAATAAAGGCAGTCACCTACTATGTAGGATACTGTCAATGTGTAAGAAACAATGTAGACAAACTCATTCACCCAGAAAGAGTCCTTGGCACTTGTTGAGTTCTGTCTAGGCAATTAAGCTCAATTAGAATCTTCTAATATTACACTATTGACAGCACCTGGAAAGCTGATAGAAAATATAGCACATGCCATGATTTTTCTTACCCATGCTGTAGATTTTGCGCCATGATTAGCAGTCTGACAGGAATCACTCTTTGGCAAACCCACGTCCAATCTGTTCAATAATTCATTGGTTTTGCTATGAAGAAATCCAATCCAAATAGAACCGTTAGTGTTTCCATAAAAATACAGTTTTTTATTCCACCCTTGGAATCTAGCCTAGACATTTTATCATGTGCCAGCTTAAAAACACCACAGGTAGAACCGAAGGTTACGGAGACAGACAGAATGAAATGGGACAGAGGATCAGAGTCTATATTATGGATAAGACATTTGTTGGGAGGACGTTTTAAGCAAATAAGTCTTGTTATTTGCATATTTATGGTTTACAGTGGCTATGCTTTCTTTCGTCATTGTAATGCATCTAAAACACAGACTCACATACTGTTGGACTTCACCAGGATGCAACTGCTTCACTGAATTGTTGCAAATCCTTATACCAGATCTGTAAATCTCAGATAAGTTATTTAAAAGATTATTTTAAGGATGTTTCCTTGATGCTTAATACAATGCAGACTTACAGTGGATTTCTTAATTAAGCAGAAAGACTTTTTGTAACACTGAAAAAAAAAAGCTTGCCTTTAGTTGAAGCAGAATTTGCACAACTAAACAGGATTTTCAAAGTGGCATTGCTTTGTTCAGAGTTTTAATCAAGTACAGTTAAATAAAGTCACTAGCAGAAACGAAACCAAATGTCAAGAACAGGAGTTTCAGTGCCATGATCAGGAACCAGTTTGCAAAACTGCAGTCCCAGGCATATCTATTCAAGTCTTCGCTCACTCAAAGCAATAGAATTAGAGGAAAGAGGAAATTTTATTTCTATATACAGCTTTGGAAAGCATGAAGGTACTGAAGTGAGAGCAGAAAGAGTGCTTCAAAAAGCATTAAACACAAAGATTTATCCTTCTAGCAGCACAATCAGCTAGCTCTGGCAGGGGGAGAAGATGTTTCTACCAAAGAGCTACTTAACCTTGGAGAAAAGACTTGGCCTATAAGTGATGCTGACTAACTGTTGAAACAGACTACCAAGTGTGTTTTTTTTCTTGCACTCTCTGATCTCAAATGGTGAGTAGATACATTTTTGGAAAATGTCCTGCTTGTCAGTGGGTGACTTTTCACTTGAGAAGTTGGGAAAAACAACAGGAACCCACAAGTTCTCCGCTACTCTACACAACACAAAACCATGTTACCACTTCAGGTACAGTACTTGATCAGGCTGTAGCAACTCATGCTTCTAAAGTTTCAGTATTCCCAGTTCACTCCCTTTTTCCCATTACCTGGACCTCAGCCAACTCACAATACAGAAAGAATCAAGTGAAGCATAAGATTCCCTTATACACAAAGCATATCAAAGCTAAATAAATTAATAGTCTTCTTAACCAAGCATAAAGTTCATATGTTTTTTACATGAAAGATGAGTGGTTAAGTACTGAGATTGCACAGAACAATTCTGGGAACTTGAGGTTTTACATTGCAGATTTTGTGTTGCTCTACCTATGCTAAAATAATTTATTTCTATACCAGAAAGAGTCAGAACTCCTACAGAAAGTCTGGAATATATTTGAGAAGGTTGAAGCTCTGCAAAGAAATATCTGGCAACTTTGAGGTATACCTGGATGTTATAATTCCTTATGGATGGCAAAAAGAATGACATGGGGTATGTGGGAGTTCTCATTATTTGTGTAAAAAGAGGTGGAAGCTTAAGACACTGCATTTTCCAGATCAGCACATGGATAGATGAAAAACTAACTCAGTTTCAGTATTAGAAGAGATGATTACAAGAGTGGGAGCAAATAAAATTTCTCTGCATGTCTGTGCACTGCCTTTGAATACAGAAAACACCCTACTACGCCAGTTAAGTAATATATTAGTAAAGTGTCCCTGTCACAAGAAAAGGACTCAGGTTTCTAAACCTGACTAAAGGCAAACTCATTCAAGTCAGTCATACATGTTAATTCCTTGTGTAGCATCTCTATAGAAACCTAGCAATGCATCTGGAGTTGTCAGACTATCAAAATATTGTCTGAATGGTGTTTTTCATAATATTAAACCCATAATCATAACAATGCAGAGCATAGCATAAGCCATGCTGCGGGAAAAGGGGGAAGTCAGAGATGACAGTCCAATTAATATTGCAGAGAGGAAAGCATTATCTCCAGAAGGAAATCAGCATATCAAAGTGTTCATAGGTGTTCTGCATTTTCAGAGAGTTGGAGCAACATCTTGCTCTCTTGCTAAAACTTCAAGGGCTGATCAAAGATGCTAATTAAATATGTTCTTCTAAACTAATTAATATTAAGGAAAGAAGAGCATGAGCTGGGGAAATTAATGTGAAAACAGCACAATCCTGATACCCTTCAAAACTAGCTAGGCAAAAGGAGCCCCAGAATTTAGACAAAGGACGGCAGCATCCTAACAGGCTGCTGACCTGAGCTCTGATTACACTTAAGTACCAGGCTGAAAGGAAGAGAGCCATTCAGAAACATTGGTTAAGCTGGAGCAATCTTATGGTCTTTTGTCTTCTTGGTAGCCCCGTTTCCCCTCACACCATTGGGAACAAACCTTTTGCTCTGCTAATTAAAATAGGCTACTCCCATACTAATACATTTAATAGCACCCAGCAATGCTTTTAGCATGGGAACTCAGCCATCTATATTGTGGTAACAGTTCCTGGAATAGTTTTGAGCTATTTCAAACAGCACTTTCCCAAATAACTCCTGGCTGCTGTTCAGGAATGAGGATCAACCACAATTAATTCCCAACAGGCACTTTGGATGCAACTGCCCCAATTTAGGGGTGGATTCATCCTTAGGGACATGAATAAGGACATGGGCTCAGGCTCCAGCATCTTCTTCCACCAAAGAGTTGCACAACACTGCCTGCTAAGCAGTGCATACAGTTTGAGATTTTATTCCTCTCAGTACAAAGATGTAAAGAATATAATTTTTTTTTGCCTACACATAAAGTTCTTGGGTTTAAGGCTGTTTTACATGCTAACATTAAAAATGCATCAATTAAAATGGCTTTTTGTAATCTTCATTATTCCTTCCCAATGACACCAGTGGCAGTTAATTCTTTTGCTTAAATTGATGGATATTGAAATGCCAGGGTAGAGAAAAATATACTGGCTTTTATGCCAGTGCTTCTGAAAATAAAAGCAGCACACTACTGTTGTATATATCATAAATCTATTTATTTCTCTTGACAATTTTTTAAAGATAATGGCCACACTTATTACTACTGAACACAAGACAGCTCCTTGTTTTCTCAAGCTGCAGGATCTCCAGCAGTTTTACTCTAATGAATGTCCGCAAGCATGGTAAGAGCTATTCAGAAACAATAATAAAAAGTAGAAATAAAGAATCCCAAGCCAGGTAAATCATTATAGCCGTTTCAGAGAGAAGACAACATGAGTAGCTGCTAAAACAATAGAAGTAGTATCTAGTGCTGAATAACACAAACACATCAGCTTCCAAATTCATTGTCAGTAAGCAATACTAAAGTGATATTTCATAATTTTCTTCCAATTCAGCTGAAAAACTAAGAACCACACATAATGCATACATAATGTTAGTTTCACATATCTGCCCAGAAGTTTCATGATGGCTTTGAAACAATAGCAGACCTCTCAACCCTCCCCCCAAAATAAAAACAAAAGAAAAAAACCCCAAACTGAATTTCATTCAAGACGCATCTTTTTGCAGCACCAGTAAACACATCTACACTTCTCCACACTTCAACATATTTAATTGGCCAAACATAACAACTTCCTCAAGTTTTGCAGGAATTTAGTTCAGCTGCTTAACACTACTAAAGCATACACAAAAGAAAAGCTACCCTTCATTTCAGTAAGGTCCATGATGACTGTGTTCTTACTGATGCCCTTGTTTCTTCCTCAGCAAGGGTTCTGCCTCATGAATTGCCATACACATCCTGATCAGTCATTTGCTATGTACTACAGCCAGCCTGGCTAGTACTAGAGCCATCGGTGCTCCTCTGCCTAACAAAATCAAATGTTAAAATACAAGAAATTCCTGAAGTCAATGTAAAGATTAACGAGGTTGTGATCCATTTATGCAGTTTTCCCATAGATTCTGATTTGGGAGATGGAGAAAGATATTTCAGAGGGAGGTATACTTGGGATTTTCACTAATGGAAATCATTTGTTAAAGTGGGAAATGAAGCTGGGAGTCCATAATACTATTTGTAAAAATAATCCCACAAAAGGTACGTATTTCAAAATTAAGCCATTAAGCAAGTTGCAAGTAGCCTGAGTGGGGACACCAATGCTTTTTGATGGCATACAGTTATACATTCCTCCTATCATATCCCATCTTTGCTGAGATTTATCACAGCAAGAAGTTGGCAAGTTTTATGTAAGTTAGAAGGCTACAAGCAACTGCCATGTTTCCCATAGCTGGGCCATGACAAGGGGCAAGGTTGTAAAGACATCTCCATCTTTCAGCAAGAAACAGGTCTTCAACTCTACATGGATTCTGGTTTACTTGTACCTTAACTTGAATCCATGCCTGCAGGACAGAGTCCAGTTTTCGATAAGAATTAAAAAAGAGACATCAGCCATGTGCAAAGTTGCCAGTGTGAACTAATGTCCATTCTTTGCGTGCATGTGAGTGGGGGATTCACCTTTTGCTGGAAGCTATAAGGTGCAAAATTACAATATGACATAATTAATCCATTAAATTCCTGTATGATGTTGATGGCTTTTCTACAATGCCCTTGACTGGGAAGAAAGGCCATCCTCTGGCTATTTAGTTCACTTGCTTTCCAATACAAACCCTTCCAATAGCCACATACCAAGTTGAATGCAGCATTCATGGACTTCAGTGGGAGTAAAGCACAGGCATAGTCAGGAGGACTTGGACATATCTAATTATAGAAAACAAAACTGTGCTGTCTTTATCTGGTAGGCTTTCTTGTCTGCGAGTTCTTGAGCATGTGTTCCTGTCCTTGGGGATAAGAACAAAAAAATATGGCACTAGTTCCTTTTAGGAATAAAGCTTCAAGAAAGTATAAAAATAGGTTAAAAAAAAAATTCTCAGCAGAATTATTTTTGTCACT